AGTTTGTAGTTGAACCTGTGACACCACTGTTACGTGCTATGTGTCTTACAGTAAACTGCTGGTCTATCATAATTATTTAGAGCACTTCTAACCTCAGTTTAAACTAACACAAGCTAATCTGCCCAAAGTGACTGTAGAACAGTGAAGGACATAATCAGCTCTCTTTAATGGAAGGCTTTTATTGTGAAGCAGCTGCAGGAAGTGTTGTGTTTGTATTAATAACAAACTACAGGCAGATCAATAAATGTTTAATAAGACAGACAGATAGGAAAAGCACTCAGTGTTTATGAAAGCAGGAGAGTTGAAATAAAAGGAATCATTTTCATTACAGACTGAATGCTGAATTCAAACAGAAAAGTTAACAACACTTTTAATGTTCTCTGTGACCATCTGAGCTTCCAGACAGTGTCGGACAAATCTCAGTATTTTTCATCAACAATCAACAAATCATTTTAGTAATAAAGAAATGTCTTCACAGAGAGAGGAAGAGGAGTCATGTTTCTGTGGAGGAGCAGCTGTCCTGCTGTGTTTTGTGTCAGGACGTCCTGAAGGATCCAGTCTCTACCAGCTGTGGACACTGGTTCTGCAGACAGTGCATCACCTCATACTGGGACCAGTCTGCTTCATCAGGAGACTCCTCCTGTCCCCAGTGTGGAAAAAGATCCAGAACAAGAGCTGGACTGCAGACAGCCAGTCAGACCAGCACTGTACAAAGTAAGACTGTACATCTTAAAAATCTAATTTTTCATTACATTAAGTTTATTTAGAGACTTAAAATAAGTTCCTTCAATGTGGATACAACCCCAAAACTGCATGAATCATGTAACTACATCAACTTCATCAAATATGCTTAACATCTTCAAGTGCTACATATAGTTTTAGAGTTTTCAGGCCATTGGCAGCACAGTAGGCAAGTACCAGTGACTATAAAATTGATTTGATCAGTAATTAAAATATTACATTCTTATCCAGTTCTTAATTAAAAGAAAACCAGGCTGACACAGGAACTGCTAGCTAATATGAACCCTTTAATGTTTGTTTATTTTTATCGCAAGTCATATCGTCATGGCAATATTGAACAGTGTTATTGCATATCACAGATATTCCTCATATCGTGCAGGGCTAGTTTAGATAATGAGCTGCTGAGGCTCAGCCTGTTGCCTCTGCTGTCAATCAAACACGTACACAGTCAGAGAAAAATAACATTTTCTGATGTTCCGTCAAAACTGGACTTTATAAAGTTTACTTCTGTTTATATTTCTATATTTATCTTTATATTGGTAATGAAAATAGTCAGCAGATTGTCAAATCTTCTTTGTTTTGACTCAACCTTTTATCTTTATTAGTGAGTGGTGGTCTGCAGGAGGTTTTAGATGAACATAAGATCAGTCTGAAGACGAGATGTGAACATGTGACTGAAGGAACTGATGAAACAGGAAGTGGAACCCTCCTCAACAGGATCTACACTGAGCTCTACATCACAGAGGGACAGAGTGAAGAGGTTAATACTCAACATGAGGTGAGGCAGCTGGAGACAGCTTCCAAGATGGAGACCCTCCATGACACTCCAATCAAGTGCCACGAGATCTTTAAAGCCTTACCTGACCAACAGAGACACATCAGAGTGGTTCTGACGAACGGCGTCGCTGGCATTGGAAAAACCTTCTCAGTGCAGAAGTTCACTCTGGACTGGGCAGAGGGCTTGGAAAACCAAGATGTCAGTCTGGTGGTTCTGCTTTCATTCAGGGAGCTGAACCTGATCAAAGATGAGCAGTACAGTCTTCTCAGGCTGCTCCATGTTTTCAATCCAACATTACAGAAGGTCACAGCAGAGCAGCTCGCTGTCTGTAAACTTTTGTTCATCTTTGACGGCCTGGATGAAAGCAGATTTTCACTGGATTTCCAAAAAGTATCCATAAATAAGAAGGTTCTCTCTGACGTAACACAGAAGTCTTCAGTCAACGTGCTGTTGACAAACCTTATCAAGGGGAATCTGCTTCCCTCGGCTCTCATCTGGATAACTTCCAGACCTGCAGCAGCCAATCAGATCCCTCCTGAATGTGTCGACAGGGTAACAGAAGTACGAGGCTTCACTGACGCCCAGAAGGAGGAGTACTTCAGGAGGAGAGTCAGTGATGAAGATCTGTCCAACAGAATCATCTCACACATCAAGACCTCCAGGAGCCTCCACATCATGTGTCTAATCCCAGTCTTCTGCTGGATCACTGCCACAGTTCTGGACCACATGTTGACTACAGACCAGAGAGGAGAGCTGCCCAAGACCCTGACTGACATGTACTCACACTTCCTGCTGGTTCAGACAAAGAGGAAGAAGCAGAAGTATGATGTGGGACATGAGAAGAGTCCACAGGAGCTGATGGAGGCTGACAGGGAAGTTCTTCTGAAGCTGGGGAGGCTGGCGTTTGAACAGCTGGAGAAAGGAAACATCATGTTCTACCAAGAAGACCTGGAGCAGTGTGGTCTAGATGTCACAGACGCCTCGGTGTACTCAGGAGTTTGTACAGAGATCTTCAAAAGAGAGAGTGTGATCTTCCAGAAAACAGTCTACTGCTTTGTTCATCTGAGCATTCAGGAGTTCCTGGCTGCAGTCTACATGTTCCACTGTCACACCAACAGGAACACCAAAGTACTGGAGGACTTCCTGGGAAAAAAACATGTTAATTCAACCCTGGATGTCTTTCTGAGGAAAGCCATGGAGAAATCCCTCAAAAGTAAAAATGGCCACCTGGACCTTTTTGTTCGCTTCCTTCATGGCCTCTCTCTGGAGTCCAACCACAGACTCTTAGGAGGCCTGCTGGGTCAGACAGACAACAGTTCAGAAATCAACCAGAAAGCCATCAACAACCTGAAGGAGATGAAAATGTATAATATCTCTCCTGACAGAAGCATCAACATCTTCCACTGTCTGATGGAGATGAACGACCACTCAGTCCATCAGGAGATCCAAGAGTTCCTGAAGTCAGAGAACAGATCAAAGAAGAAACTCTCTGAGATCCACTGCTCAGCTCTGGCCTACATGCTGCAGATGTCAGAGGAGGTTCTGGATGAGTTAAACCTGAAGAAGTACAACACATCAGACCAGGGACGACAGAGACTGATTCCAGCTGTGAGGAACTGCAGAAAGGCTCAGTAAGTCCAGATGTGATTAACATTATAAATCAATATAAAGTTGAAGCCATCAGTATTAGAGTTAAGATTATATTGTTTAGTTCTTAACAAAGAACGTCTTTTCACATCTTTTTTCGTTCTAAATAATTTTGATTTATAAACCAGTTTACAGACGAGTCCATTCAAATACCACCAGAGAGAGAGAGGGAAAAGGAGAGAGCTTCTTTACTAATGAAGGTTCATTTAGTGTAGCAGAGCCTTTCCAGTGAGCCATGATGCACAGTAGCAGCACCCTGACTGTGTTTGACCTGAATGTAACAGAACCTTAATTAGTGTCATTGGTAACACCTGTGTTTACCCTCCTGTTTCATATCAAAATGGCTCCTGTGATAAAGGTGTATTATACTATTAATGCAATAGGAGTCATTAAATCAATTCAATGGGAGATAAAAGCAGCTGGAGCAACATAATAAGATTCATCTGGGGCTGCATTAATGAGATTTTCACGGTACAATAACCATCTCAGAAAATATCACAGTTTAAAGGTATACAGTATTACACAGTTATTAATTATCAGTTACAGTAATGAAACAGAAAGATGTGTTATTTTTGTTTGTTTGTTTTTTGGTTGAATGCTATATTATAATTTCACAAAATATTATGTACTATATATTTTTAATAACACTAATACAACAGAATACAATACCATAGATAAACAAATGTACACAGTATGTTTGCATACCACGGTATACCATGGTATTGGTATACAGCTGCAACCCTAGATGGATTAAAGATGCACAAAATACACACAAGAAGCACATGACTGAGATAAATACATATGAGTGCAGTTACAACCTATAGTGATTATACAGCTCATTGAACATCCTGTTAAAATAAAGTTTAACAAACACAAATCACAGCACTTGTGGACAGGAGGAGCTCAAGTTTCAAACCACAGACCTTGTGATCAATGACTGACCAGCTGAACTACAGCCTGTTACGCCCCTGTCTAGGGGGAAGGAGCGCCACATAAATGTGTGATGAAAAATGAACCAATAATCCTACCCCGATTCCCAAACGAACAACTAACACAGTGTTAACAATCAAGTGATGTGATTTATTTACAAACAGGTGAAACAAAGTGCAACAAAGACTAAACAACAAACTTCAGGGTGAACCAAGGCCAAAACAACAAACAAAACAGGACTAACTTCCTTAAACAAAAATCCTTACTAATCCCTATGCAATAGAGATAAAATACAGTTACTAAACCTAACTCCCTATCCTAATGAAAAACAGGAGAAAAGTAGTACAAAGAAAATGGCAGCTCACCCTTACGATACTCACTAAACACAATCATACAAAAACACTATCTACTAAGGTCCTAACAATTCACGCTATCGCAAAAACACACACTCTACAACCGAGGACAGAAGGATGCTCTACAACCGAGGACAGAAGGATGCTGCTGCTGAAGGTTCTGTCGAAGAGCTTCGGTGTGGTGCGGCGTTTTGAATCCCCGGCGGATGTTGCAGCTCCCTGGGAGAACCAACCAGCAGGCGACACTCCACCAGCCGAGCCCACGGCATGGACCAGTCAGAGCTGACCTACGGGTTGCCGTCAAAGATCTACAATCGACAGGCTGCAGACTCCTGCAGAGGAACAGGGACAAAAAACACCAACACACACCACAGACGGAACCAATACCATAACAGAATGCTAGTAATACGGCCAGGGCCGTAACACAGCCACTCATGTTAATGTGCTTTGTCATGCAAAATGCACAAAAGTCTACTTTTATAATAAAATGCCAGATTTTATTGTACTTAGTAAATTTATATTCTATGTCATCACAGACTTTCTGGCTGTAGACTCTCAGAGACTCACTGTGAAGTTGTGGCCTCAGCTCTGAAGTCCAACCCCTCCCATCTGAGAGATCTGGACCTGAGTTACAACAAGCTGCGGGATTCAGGAGTGAAGCTGTTGTGTGCTGGACTGGAGAGTAAAAACTGTAGACTGGAGACTCTGAGGTCAGTTCATGTATTTTGCTCTTGTACAGTGTATATCTGATCTGTGTAATTTATCTTTGTCTGCCCCAGATCCCCAGTAAAAACACTGCACACACACACACACACACACACACACACACACACACACACACACACACACACACACACACACACACACACACACACACACACACACACACACAGACACACACACACACAGCGACAGAGACACAGAGGAGAGAGTTGATGTAAAAGATTATAATTCAAGTTGAATACAAATGTAATAGTTCACAGTCTGGTGACTTTGACCCACACTGAGCAAAGCATAATAAAATATGACCAAGACCTCAATTTAAAATGAAGAACATATTCTGAGTTAGAGAGAAATTTGGACACTATTAACACTTAACACAGTTTTGTGTTTTGTTATTCAAACATTGACCAAATTTGTTAAGTGTTATTAAGGGAGAATGACTATTGTGGTGGTACAACAACCTTATAAGGCCCATACTGAGCTTCATGGACAACAACTTCCTTACTAACTATCATTAAGCAGTAATTAGGAAGTTATTGAGGAAAGAGTCTCAGTTCATGGCTTAGTAGTGTTAGAATATAGTCATGCAGTATAAGGCATTAAATCATGCTTAATAATGACTAATAAAGAGTTAATATGCTACTAATATGGAAGCACAAACACACTCTAAAACACACACACAAGCAGCAAGCATATTTCTGAATGCAGGTGTTTGAAGTATTGTGTGTGACTTTGTGTTCTGACTCAACCAGTAAGCAGGAGCATAAATAATACACTGTATTTGTACAGGAAGGTACTTGGTTACATTTAAGATTATGAGAGAATATGCAGCTCTCTTTGCTCAGTGCACATTTGATCCAGTTATAAAGAAGATTGAGGATGAAGTTCACTTCAGTCAGTGTGTGTTGATGGAGATGACAGTGGTGATGAGGATAGTCTAAATGTGTGAGATACATCAGAACTGCTGGTTTAAAGAGGTTTGTTTTTACTTAAATTATTATTACAGACCTGACTGACAGCATGTTATTGATCTCTGTTGACATGAATTTATTCTTTATTCAGATTGATTGACTGCAGTTTGTCAGAGATCAGCTGTGGTTATCTCATCTCAGCTCTGAAGTCCAACCCCTCCCATCTGAGAGAGCTGAACCTAAGTCACAACAAGCTGCAGGATTCAGGAGTGAAGCTGCTGTGTGATTTTCTGGAGAGTCCACACTGTAGACTGGAGGCTCTGAGGTCAGACACCATATTTTCCTTCTGTGCTGAGATTAATATGATGTGAAAGTTATGGTGACAGTAAAGTGCAGACATAAGGCTGATATTATACTGATCCACACTGAGTATCTTAATGCTAAAGTCTGTTTTCTTCTTCAAGCATCAATTCTTTCCAAGCATGAGATTTTGTACTCTTCCATTGAAATACACAAATATTTTGCCATTCTTTGTCTGTTATTGTCAGGTCTCCTTCCTTCTCCCATCTATCCTTTATATATTTTGTTGAATGAGCTTTTAGATTGTGGAGGCTCTTGTACAGTTGAGAGATGACCTCTCTTTTAATATCTGACTTATATGCATTTATGAGAAGTTGCATAAAGGGTTTACTGGCTTCTCTGGTATTTTTCTTTTTTCTTTTCTTTTTGATTTCTTAATTGGAGATATTTTTAGAAATCCTGTTTTTCCAGAGAAAAATTATCTCTTAATGTTTGAAAACACATCATTTCATCTTTCAGTATAATGCTGCATACAGATATTATACCTTTCTTTATCCAAACTTTGAATCTATCATTGAGTTTATTTAGTGTGAGATCTGAATGATATGCACACCAACTCAGGATTTAAATATCTTCTTTCAATTTATGTTCTTTTATCACTGCTCTCTGAACCCCGAGAGCTGATGCTCTCATCTGTGCTGAGACATAATTATGTTTCTGTGATGGTAAACCCCAGCCTCCTCTTTCTTTCAGTAGCTGTAATGTTTTATATTGTACTCGAAGTCTTTTTCCTGCCATATAAATCTCAATATCATTAAACACTGAATGATTTCAGGCAGGAACATTGTCTTCTAAACTTACATCTTTTATTCTTTATTCAGATTGTGGGACTGCAGTTTGTCAGAGATCAGCTGTGATTGTCTGGGCTCAGCTCTGTCCAACCGCTCCCATCTGAGAGAGCTGGACCTGAGTGACAACAATCTGCAGGATTCAGATGTGAAGCTGCTGTCTGATCTTGTGGAGAGTCCACTCTGTAGACTGGAGACTCTGCGGTCAGTAGAGGGTTGACATCAGTCCATGCTGGTTTCAGCAGAATTGTACTAAACACAGTTAGTATCAAAGCAAAGATCCAGTATTTGCTGCTTTCCTCAGTGAAGCTGTGAGAGGAGGATGGTGACAGACTTCAGGGTTGGACAGAAAGACAGAGAGAGAGAGAACAGTCAGCCAATCAGAGAGCCAGAAGCTTGTTGTGATCATGTGTTTGAGTTGATGTGAAGACGACTGTTGTTGTTGTGTTCATGTCTACAGGAAATAAAGCTGGATTCCAGCTGACAGTATACAAAATGTACAGAGACAATGGTCCTCATTCATCAAACTGTCGTACCATCAAATCTGATCTCAAAGTGTTTGTTCTCTCATTTCAACACTAAACAACTGATCAGTTCATCTTTGTCACAGCTCTAAGATCAGTCTGATTGAAGCCTGCAAACCACTGGATCTTATTTCAGAGAACCATCATTATATTTAGTGACCATGTGGTCTTTGTACAGACCAGAACCTCTGCTGAAGTCCAGTAATCACAGCTATTGTTCAGTCTCTGTATGAACATGTAGGACCTTTAACATCAGATATATATCTGTCCATTTGTCTTTTGTTTAGTCCAAATATGTTTTATATTATTTTAAACAGACTCCATATTTACAGATCTGTCCTGTGAGATTTCAAAAGCAGATGAAACGTTCAAATGTGACTGAGACTGTGGTTTCTATCAGCTTTGAACCCAAACAGCAGTAAATCCATCATTATAGTGGGCAGTGAATTTCTCTCTGTTTCTGCAGTAATGATGCGTTCAGGGACTCTCAGCACTTTATTTCCACTGTGTACTTCAGTGAAATCTGCAGAGTCAACAGACTTGATGTCCAAAGTTTCTGCAGGTCTGTGAGCTTCAGCTCAGTGTGTTCACTCCAATACATTAACATGAGAGCTGAAAGGAAGCAGGCTACGCTACACAGCCACTCACCTTCTGGTCTGAACTGGACTGAAGTCCCTGTAGGTCTTTATACTGGATGTGTTGATGGAGGGAGTCTCTGTAAACACTGATTTATGACTTCTGTTGTCTGCCTTCTTCTCTCCTCAGATGGTGGTGATCTCAGTAAGAGTGGGAGTGGTGAGGAAGGAGGTTGTGTTGGAGGATCAGCTGTGTCCTGATGATCCAGAGAGGTTGAAGCAGCAGCATCAGCTCTGACTGGGCCATGTTACTGGGAGGTAGAGTGGAGAGGAGAGCTTCATCCAGCAGTGACTGACAGAGGAATCACAACCAGTGGAGATGACTCTCAGTGCTGCAGTCTGAACTGCTCTGAGATCAGCTCCACTGTCAGACACAATGTCAAGTCCACCATCATCCCTGTGTGTTCCTCTGGATGTGACAGAGTATCATCAGTGTATCTGGACTGCTCTGCTGCTGCTCTGTCCTTCTACACAGTCTCTGCAGACACACTGAGACTCCTCCACTCCTTCTGCTCCACACTCAACCACCTCCTCCACCTGGAACCTCCACCTGGATTTTATTCTTTCATTCATTCACATATTCTGAACCCAAACTGCCTCTACACATTCATTCTGTTTATGACAACAGAACTGTAGATGAACACATTGAATTGGATATTTCAGTGTTGATTTCTGTTCAGCTCCACCCTGTGGAACGATGGAGAACTGCTGTTATTTTTCACATTATTCTGTATCATGGAGGTTGATGTCAGAAGTCTCATTCTCATCACTATTGTATTATATTTCTGTTTACTTGTTCTTTTTTATTCTGTATGTTTATGTTCTTATTTCATATGAATCCATCATATTCTGTAACAGGTTGCATTATTTACAGAAAGCGGTGTGTTTACAGTGTGTTTACTGATGAGCTGAATGCAACAACACTAATGAAAGTGTAAGAATGGGGATAAACTTTCATCACTTTCTGTATTTAAAATGGTCGTAATTAGTGTTTATGTGGACCTGCCCAGGGACTGCAGATGGAAATTAATTAGTAGCTGAATCTGGTAAAATGCATCTCTGCTCCTTGTATGAGAATGTTTTTTTGTTTATGGTCCCTGATAAATAAATATAATTAACTAAACTAATAAATGAGAAATAAGTTGAGTCCCCATCTCCATGAAACTGTCAGTGAAATGTTTTTTTCTTCTGTAATGAGCAAAAGATATTAAACAACGTTGTTATGTGTCATTCCACATGTGTTTATTGATGCAGTTAATTAAGAAAATGCTCAGTTTCTTATTTGTGAAATATTGTGTTTTACTTGTTTGGGCCTCAAACTGTTTTGGTATTTAGATAAAAGACGTAGGTTTAGAGGGAGAACTGCTAACGACTCACACACATCTGATATTTGACAAAGAGCCCCGACTAGATGATGTATTTTTATAAGACAAGAATGTTGGAAACTACTGGTTGAATTAGTAACAGTGGATTTTATAAGATAGCTGCTGCTGTCAGATGAATGTAAAGAATACAGTAGTTCCCTGTGAAATGTAGTGGAGCAGAGTGCATGTTTTGTATGTAAAATATCTGATAATAACTCGTCGTCTAACAGCTGTCAGGTAAATGTCCTGCAGTAAAAAGTCCAGGACTTCAGTGTAGTGCAGTAAATGTATAAAGTAGAATGACATTTAAATATTAAAGTACAAATACCTCAAATTGTACTCAAGTACAGGCCTTGAGCGAATGTACTCAGTTACTTTCCACCACTGACTGTAACTGTAACTGTAACCATCACTTCTGTAGTTACAAATACTACAACTATCATTACTATTACTATCATTACTTTTACTGTTAATACTATTACCATCATTACTATCACTACTATTACTCGTCCAAACTGAACCATCTGCTGACTAACTAAATCTAGATGTGGAAAGTAACTAAGTACATTCAAGTACTGCATTAAGTACATTTTGGAGGTACTTGTACTCCACTACATTGGAAGTATTGGACCTTTTACTGCACTACATGTACCTGACAGCTGTCATCCTACTAGTTACTCTGCAGGTTCACATTTTACAAACAACACATGGGATCAACAAATAGATTACACGACACAAGAACATGTGAAGTATTTAAATGATCTCCACCCGCCTGAATCACCTACAGCATTAAACTGCTGCTTACATCTGCACAGTGACTACTTTTAATACTTATAAATACTTCTGTACTTTTACTGAAGGAACATTTATATGCAGATAAACATTAGGAAAGAGGCTCCACAGTAAGTACACAGAAGATATCAACTACCACTGCCACTGCTACTACTTTTGGACCACTAATAAACACACAAACATTTCCACTTTCACCCTTAATAGTACTTTCTGTGTCAGTGAATAAAGTGATTGTGGTTGTAATTTATCCTTTTGGCCAGCAGGTGGTGCTGTTGTTTACAAGTAAGTAAGTAAGTAAGTAAGTAAGTAAGTAAAACTTTATTTATGTAGCACCTTTTTGACCAGATCCAAAGTGCTTTCCAAACAACAAATAAATAAAACATTACACACACAAACACAAACATAGAGACCTTGTAAAAACAAACAAAGGAAGATAAAACAAAGGGGAGGGATAAATTAAAAGAGACACGACAGAAGAGAAAACAAACAGGGAGATCTATAAAAAGGCTTGCCAGCAGAAGTGGGTTTTGAGCAGCCGCTTAAAACAGTCCACCGATTCAGTGAATCTAAGTGATTGGGGAAGACTATTCCACAATGTTGGGGCTAAAACAGCGAAGGCACAGCCACCTTTAGATTTACAGGTAGAGCGTGGAACGGATAAAAGGCCGAGATTTGAGGAGCGGAGTGGCCGAGGAGTGGAATGAGGAACAAGGAGATCTGAAATGTAACTGGGGGCAAGGTCATGAAGTGCCTTATATGTAATCAGTAAGATCTTATAGTTGATTCTGAATTTTACAGGAAGTAAACTGTAAACAATTTAAGGAAGCCTGACTTAGGCACGTGTAGAGGGAGTTACAGTAATCTAGACGGGATAAAATTAAGCTGTGAATTAGTAGTTCCGGATCACAGCTATATTTCGTAGCTGCAGGAAACAGGACTGGACAAGTTTTGTGACATGAAGGTCAAATGTCATATGCTGGTCGAAGATGATACCCAGATTCTTAGCAGTGGGTTTGATATTAGTGCGTAGAGGTCCAATAAACTGATCAACTGCAGTGACAAATTTATCGGAGCCAAATAAAATGATTTCAGTTTTATCCGGATTTAAGTGGAGAAAATTAAGAGACATCCAGTCTTTGGTGGCAGCTAAACACTCATGGAGAGAGGACAGTTGATTCAGATTATTGGGTTTGCAGAAAAGTAGATCTGTGTATCATCTGCATAACAGTGATATGACATGTCATTGAAGCAGCTGAACAAATGACCCAGAGGAAGCATGTAAAGGGAGAACAGAACTGGACCAGGAACTGACCCCTGAGGGACACCACACAGCAGGGGAGCGAAGAGGAAACATGATTATTAATGCAGACATTAAAGACTCTATTAGTCAAGTAGGAATTAAACCAATTTAAGGCTGTACAAGAAATGCCAACCCAGTTCTTTAATCTATCCAGTAAAATGGCATGATCGATGGTATCAAAGGCTGCAGTCAGATCAAGAAGAATAATGATGGAGCTTTCACCTTTGTCAGCATGCATAAGAATGTCATTAGACATTAGACAGAAAAGTGACCAGGTGGAGTTCTATATTATATTGTATACTCTATATACTATACAGAGTACTGTGTGTGTCTGTGTGTATGTGTCTCTGTGTGTGTGTGTGTGTGTGTGTGTGTGTGTGTGTGTGTGTGTGTGTGTGTGTGCGCGCGTGTGTGTTACTTCTTGTTCTCTCAACCTTGCGTGTGACTCTTGAACAAACCTGCTTTTCTTGATTCTTGTGCTCTGAGCTCAGTCTGTTAATATTTTATCTCTCCGACTGACTTAAGTGTAGAAGATGAGTGTTTGTGTGGAGGAAGAGGAGGACAGAGCAGAGTCTCCAGTGTCCAGCTGTCTGTCTATGAAGAGTGATCGGTCCAATGATGAGCCTCCATTCTTCAGTAATGAACCTGGACCCTCAGACACAAAGTAAGAAACAGTTTTTACTGTAAACTGACCTGATGGAAGATGATTCATTGAGCATGAAGACAAAATAGATTTATTTTCATGATGCAGAACTATTAGTGCAGACACTGTTTCAAACTAAAATATATCTTATTTTATTTCTTTAGCAAAACACTTGAGAACCTCAGTTTCAGAATTTATATTTCATATATAATTTAATAATATATTTTTGCTCTGATGTTGAAATCGCTGTAAATATTTGTAACTATTCAAAATCTGAAAGAATTTGTTTCTAATGTGTTATTATTTTTCTCATATTTGTCCTGAAAATATTTTCTTGTTTGGCTCCTCCTCAAATCAGCTGTTATGATTCATGTGATCCATTTTGAATCAGTTCATATTATAATTGTCCAACATGGGATGAAAAAGTCATTTGTAGAAAAGCTTTACTCACCGTGATTCTGTGTGTTGATACTCTAACTTTACTCTTTAACTGACTACTTGTGTAAAATGATCTGGAGCTTGCAGCTGAAAGCTTTAAAACTTTAGTAAGTGGATTTTTGAGCTCAGATTCTTCCCCACCACCCCCTCACTTCTCTCAGTCTTGCATGTGACTCTTGAACAAACCTGTTTTTCTTGATTCTTGTGCTCTGAGCTCAGTCTGTTAATATTGTATCTCTCAGACTGACTGAAGTGCAGAAGATGAGTGTTTGTGTGGAGGAAGAGGAGGACAGAGCAGAGTCTCCAGTGTCCAGCTGTCTGTCTGTGAAGAGTGATCAATCCAAAGTTGATCCTCTATGCTTCAGTAATCAACCTGGACCCTCAGACACAAAGTAAGAGAACTGCTATTAACTCATTAATGACTCATTTTCAGTTATTTCTGCAGATGTCATGTTTTCTGTTGATTTTGTGTTTGTATATTACCTTTTTCTGTCAAAATGTATTTTTAACAAAACTTTTATAAACTTTTGTGACAAAGATTTAGAGCACTTCTAACCTCAGTTTAAACTAACACAAGCTAATCTGCCCAAAGTAACTGTAGAACAGTGAAGGACAACATAAATGTTTAATAAGACAGACAGATAGGAAAAGCACTCAGTGTTTATGAAAGCAGGAGAGTTGAAATAAAAGGACTCATTTTCATTACAGACTGAATGCTGAATTCAAACAGAAAAGTTAACAACACTTTTAATGTTCTCTGTGACCATCTGAGCTTCCAGACAGTGTCGGACAAATCTCAGTATTTTTCATCAACAATCAACAAATCATTTTAGTAATAAAGAAATGTCTTCACAGAGAGAGGAAGAGGAGTCATGTTTCTGTGGAGGAGCAGCTGTCCTGCTGTGTTTTGTGTCAGGACGTCCTGAAGGATCCAGTCTCTACCAGCTGTGGACACTGGTTCTGCAGACAGTGCATCACCTCATACTGGGACCAGTCTGCTTCATCAGGAGACTCCTCCTGTCCCCAGTGTGGAAAAAGATCCAGAACAAGAGCTGGACCGCAGACAGCCAGTCAGACCAGCACTGTACAAAGTAAGACTGTACATCTT